GGGTATGAATACTTTTGCAAACCACTGTATGTGCTGCAGAACAGGAACCTGCTGTAAAACAGCAATTATGCTGAGTCAGGCTTGGTTTTTAATAATCTTTTCCTGTTAAATAAATAAATAAATCAWATCAACTGGTCAGCAACTAATGCAGCTCACAGATCTGCATAATCAGGTTCTGGAGGAAAAGGTGATCCAGGTGTACTATGAGCCCATCCATTCACTGCAACCAGTGTTCCTCTAACCAAGGAACAAGAAGTCATTGGTTCCATTGTTGTCACCATCCTCATCAGGGTCTGATTTATGTGACAAACCATGTCTGCAGACATGTTTTCATGTACTGTAGAATGTTTGAATGTTTTTTTTATTAATGTACTGGAAAGATTTTAAAGGTTTTGTAGTATTTTTACATTTTTGTGCTGCATGTATGAGCCAGATGTCAGAGTCTCTGTTAAATACAATGTTGTGGGAGGGATTGACTGATGTGTCCCTCCCAGGTCACAGGTCACATATTCAACACATGTCAATGCAACACTGCTGCTGACTGACCCATGATGGCATGTAAATGTAACTTTTTATGGCTAAAATCACTGCAAGAAAACAACTTTGTTTATTCTTTGTGACTTTTACTGTGGATTGTATCCACTGTGTTGTATTGTTATAAAGGCAGTTTCACTGATGTGAAACAGAAATCTGACTCTGTGGCTTTCTCAAGGACCTGGATGTGTGACACAAAAAATAGTTTGGAATTGAAATTGAATTATTATTATTGAACCCCTCTCCCTGGGCGGCCACCTTATGGTGGAGGAGAGGTTTGAGTGTCCCAGTGATCCTAGGAGCTATGTTTTAGGGCAGGGGTCTCCAACCAGTAGCTCCTGAGAACATTTAAAGTAGCTCTTCAGTTCTTGTGAAAAATTAGAAGCAAAATTTAGTTTGTCGCTAAACAAACTTTCATTTAACTCCAATCAGTCTATAGCTGTCCCTTCTCCTTCAATGTCAATCAATCAGTTTAGGGCTCAGCATGGTTGATCACCAGATGATGTCATCATGTGGTTTTTCGGCGTTCGTTTTTACACACACCTTTCATAGCCCCCTGAGACACACTGTGCAGAACTCATGGGAAACCCCTCTTGCTGTGGTGTATTTCACTACACAGGGTTTCTTCTTGCTGAAGTCTACAATGCGGAAAAAAAAAATCTGAGACCCGTCACCCGATGCTAATTGTGCACAAATCTGTTGCAGTTAAACCCCAAGTTCATAGTGTGAAATACACTGTAACATGGATGGATCAACACAAACAACAGTGTCATGTAAATTCAATGTTCTTTGTGGTGGTTTCATGTGGATGGAAGATGATTTTTTTGTGCAAAACAGGCTTATTCCAATGGTTTGAGGATTAAATTAAATGTTGGAAAAAGTAGCTCTTGGATAATTTCATTTTGTGAAAGTAGCTCTTAAGGAAAATGGTTGGAGACCCCTGTTGTAGGGTCACCCAAGGCAAACAGGTCRTAGGTGAGGGATCAGACAAAGTGCAGCCCAAAGACCCCTATGATGAACACAATAAATGGAGTCAGTGTTCCCTCGCCTGGACGCGGGTCACCAGGGCCCCACTCTGGAGCCAGGCCTGGAGGTGGGGCACGTTGGTGAGCTCCTGGTGGCCGGGCTTTCACCCATGGAGCCCAGTCGGGCACAGCCTGAAGAGGAGACATGGGTCCCCCTTCCCATGGGCTCACCACCTGTAGGAGGGGCCATAGGGGTCAGGTTGTGTGTTGGGCAGTGGTCGAAGGC